TCTCCTTGGTTGGCATCAAAGGCCAAGGTCCAAAGCGGCTTCTGGTGCCACCTTGGCCTCTTCAGAGCCAAGTCTGCCGTCCCAGTGCCAAAAGCTGGAATAAGCAGATACGAAAGCTAGGCTTGTACCAGATCTCGGGGAACAAGGGTGCAAATTCTCCAGTTTTGGGGGGCTTAGAGGAAACGGCTGGGTGCAGCTCTCCAAATGGCCTGGTAGAGCAGCAGCAGCAACAGCTTGCAATCATTTGCAAGCCTTGAGTTGTTGCTGCAGCTTCCAAGGGTCACCAAGGGGCTCTGTGTATTTACTTACTTAGTTAGCTTCCTACTTCCCTCCTACTCACTTGGTGCCAGGGCTCACCCTCCACTCTGCTTTGCATCCACCTTCCGGCTGGAAGCATATCACCTAATGTGATCCCCAAACTCTGGCTTTCCAGGTGGACTTTTTGGACTTCGGCTCCCAGAATCCCAGACCTTTGGCCAAGATGGCTGAGGCTGCTGGGAGCTGAAGTCCAAAACACCTGGAAGAGTAGACTTTGGGAATCACTTGCTTTGTCTCCCTAAGGAAGACTCTCCTCTTCTCACCTTGGTCTGCAAACAGCCCTTTTACCTATGATTTCTCTTTTAATTTCAAGCCGGAAAATACATTACGTGGGACTGGACATACCTTCCTATGCCTGTTTTAGAGAAAGGTTTGACCTGGACCCAACTTGGCAGAAATGTCCCCCTCCCAAAGGACTTTTGGAAAAATTGGCCTGAGGGGCTTCACTCTGCCCATCCTTGAGCTAGAAGTGGGTTTGGGTTTGGGTTTGGGGGCTTCTGGAAGACTGAGAGCCATCTTTTTGTGTCTCTCTTCCTTGCCCTGTCCCTTTGTGTGTTTATGTGCAGACTCTTTCCTTCCCTTCCTGCTCATTTGTATGGAAGGAAGGCAGCTGTTCTCTATCATTCTTCTTCTCAAACCTTCATTTCCCCCCCATTGCTATCTGGAAAGCCATCTGTGCCACAGAGTACCTTTCTGTGGGATTTTCTCTCTCCTTTCCCGGCTGCCAGGGAAGATCAATGGGACAGAGATGCTGGGGATGATGGGGATGATGATGGGGAGAAGCTGGAGGCTGGCTCCTTCCTTCCTTCCTTCTTTCCCCAAATTTGCCTTGCCTTTGCACGAAATCTCTCTGCCTCTCTCTCTCCCTTGAGTAAAATATTAATGTGTTACCTTTATGTGTAAATTGTCTTTCTTATTTAAAGAAAGCCTCCTTTTTAGCATGCAGGAAGGCACTGGGTTTCTGCTGCAAAATGTCTTCTTCCTTGGAGCTTTCCTTCTTCCCTCCCTTTGGCAAAATAATGGCACATCAGATCATTTTTTGGCTGAGAAACTTGACCTAGAGAGAGGACGGCGAAGCAAGTGGATGGGCCGCCGTTGGGGAAGGAAGGAAGGGGTACAAAAGTCCCTTTTTTGGACTACAACCCCCAGAATCCCCCAGCTAGCATGGATTCTGGGTGCTGTAGTCCTTCAAAAGGAACAAGATTTCCTCACCCATGATAGAAAACAAGTAAGAATAAGGCCATGGGATCTCAGAGCCTGAAGCCTGAGCATCTGGTTCTCATGGGTCACCTCCAGACAAGGGGACCAGATGTCCTCACCTCAAAGGAGGACCAGGCACTGCAAAATTGGGGGGG